CACACTTAAACCTTTGTACTCCTGGACAAAGGCAATACAAAACTGAAGCAAGAGAATAGTATTGATACAAATGGGAACCCCTATGAATTCAAAGTAAGAAAGCGGTAGTGCCATTAATCCAACTCTTTAAAAAGCAATCATAGTGATCTAATTTAATGAGAAGGGATTAAAGTAGAGTACAGTCAATGCAATGGGAATGAACAAAAGAGAAAACACTCAAGATATAAATTGTTTCACTCTACTCACCAAGTTGGGGTAATTCTCTCTTAAATCCACTTAATCAACACTTTACCATAAGCTTGTTAAAATCCTACCTCTCCACTTCTAATACATGAATGTAATGATCAAGAGGACTTTTAAGGTTATGATAATGGGAAGGGTTAAATGAAATAAGATGAGGTGAAAAGATATGAAATGATTAAGCACCAAGCATTTTAGAAAAGGTTTCCAACTAACATTTACTCTAATCTCTTAAAGCACAACTTTGTTCTTCAAACCACCAATGAATTGCCTTATTTCAAGATTTTATTCTATTGGTACCATTTTATTTTGATCTTTCTTTCTTTGGCTTTTCTCAAGCATTTCTTCTATTTCTTTGCCTTTTTCTATTTCTCTTTTCTCTGTTTTTTTTATGCAATTCAAAACCCAAAAAGACAAAGTTTAACACATCATGAATAGAATAGTAAAAATGTTGGAAATTTGAATTGTAGGGAATAGAATAATATGGAGAATAATTCTCTTGTATTTCATTGATCAGAATATACACATATATATACAAGTGAGAGGAGCCTCTGCATTAATGGCTCATTATGATAATATCATATCCTATCAAATCCTAATCATAATTACATAATATTTACATATCAAATCATATCATATCTCTACACTCCCCCTCAAGTTGGAGCATAAATGTTAAGCATGCCCAACTTGTCACACAGATAGTCAACACGAGTCCCATTTAGAGCTTTAGTTAGAAGGTCGCCTAATTGATCACTAGAACGCACATATCTAGTGGAGATGAAGTTCTCCTTAAGCTTGTCTCTGATAAAATGACAATCAATCTCAATATGTTTGGTACGTTCATGGAACACAGAATTGGAGGCTATATGTAGGGCAGCCTTATTGTCACACCACAACTTTGCTGGCAAAGTGGTTTTAAGGCCAACTTCCTTTAATAGTTGATATATCCAGATTATCTCACATACAGACTGTGCCATAGCTCGGTATTCTGCCTCTGCGCTCGATCTGGACACCACATTTTGTTTCTTGCTTTTCCAGGACACCAGATTCCTGTGACACCTTATGTTTATACCAATTAACTTTTCTTGCGGAAGCATTTGGAATCACTTTTGAAGGCTACAATTGATGAAAAATCAAGTTCGAAAATTTTCATTTACGGGTTACTATTCATTGTCACCTTAAAATGTGACAAACTTCAAAAATTCATAACTAATTATAGAAAAATTGAAATTGAGTGATTCCAAGTTCTACAGAAAGCTCTTTGGATAAAATTTTGAGGAAAAATAGTTTCTGAACTGATTGCCTTGAAATTCGAGCTCAATTTCCTTTGAAAAATTTACTGTTCATTTGGTCATTTTCGGATTTTACTGTATTTTTGCCTAACTTTGGAAAGGCATAACTTTCTGCTCGGTTATCGGAATCGGGCAAACTACCCCTCATTTTAAATAGAAACATCAGATCTCTTTGCTTGCCAAATCTTATGACCTAACTCACTCGTTTGATAGGTCAAACTGAGCTACAAATTCACTGCTCCAGGACTTACGTTTTATCCCTTAACATCTCTTTAATTCTTTTTATTTCTTTGGCATACATAACATGGCCTTACTCTTTCCCATTCATGCTCATACACTTTCATTTATGCCATAAATATTATAATTAAATACATGGTATCATTGGCATCCATAACATAGTTCACAAAAAAGTAGAATTATACATATATCAACAGTCTCATCCATTAACAAGAATAATTCTCCGCTTACTTCTCCTTGCTTCTCATGCCATTATTGCCCATCATTGACTGACCTAAATGGTTGGTTAGGGAGGGGTGAGATTCGGGGGAATCTCAGTAGCAAACACTACCCATAAGCATGCAAGACATAATGCACATGCATGACATGTTATAACATTAACACATGAATGCCATGGAAAGTAAGCTAAAGCATTTCATGCTTCCATAACATATTGCCAAGGCAAAACATAACATAAACTTGCAAACATAACTTTGCAAACATTTCATCATAGCTTAGTCACATCATGGCAACACAATCACATCATGCAAGCATACATATCAAGCACACAGTATAGGTAAGTTCACTACCTTGTAACATGGCTTTCCCCTTGCTTTTCCTTTGATTCCCTTGTCTTTCCAACCGTGTGGACATTCGATCAACGTCACCAAACATCCTCTTGGATGTTCCAAAGGTCCTAAACATAGTCACATTGATCATACAATCCATTAGGACCACTAGATTACATAAAGTTCAAGACTATCTCTCTTGAACCTCAACCCTTTCTCTTAGTCTTAGGGTTTTCTTTCTAACTCTTCTACCATAAATCTCATCATTTTCCATCCTTATGATCCATTTTGTTGTCAATTAGGACCACTTTAGATGGCTTTAGATTCAAGAATACCAAATCTGGAAATTTTGCTTCGCGGGTACTGTTCACGCAGAATTTCCAGAATTTTTGCTCAACTTTGAAAATTCATAATTAATTCTAGAAAAATCCAAATTGCGTTCTTCCAAGTCTCACTGGAAGATCCTTAAGTTAAATTTAAAGGAAAAATAGTTTCAAGAGCCAATTCTACACCGAACAGTACCGGAACTGTACGGAACTCGAAACTCTTCCAAAAGTTCAACACTGTTTCCAGATTTCAAACCCTAACTTTGAAAAATCACCATAAATCGTACACATATCCAAATGAAGTGTTCTACCTATGGATTTAAAGCTCACAGAGTGTACTTTAAGCATGCAAAATTTCAGAATCAGATATGCACAGTAACTAATCCGAAATAGGCATAAAATCAGGTGCTATAACCATCACATACCTTGTTTTAGAGTTTGATCTGGCTTGGAACCACTTGGCCTTTCTTTCTCCCTCTTCTTTCTCTCTCTAGAAACCATTTTTCAAGAGCTTCCCCATGGATTCCTTATGCTTGGACGAAATGGTAGGGAGGGGAGGGGGTATTTATAGAAAAACAGACCGAATCTGGACCGTTGATCTTAAAAATACGTGGCTCGATCTGGACCGTCCATTTTCTCTTTTGATCTTACGGTGACAAGTGTCCTATGACATCATGCTTACCTCATCATGATGACATCATGCTTACATCATCAAGCCACATGTCTTTAATCCGACCGCACACGTGCCTTGCATCCGACCGTACACGTGTCTTCCATCTAGCCGTACACGTAATATTTTCTTTTTCTCATCTAACCGTACACGTGTCACTTTTATGTCCTTTCATCATTTATGGCATTAAAATAGGGAGAAAATAAATGGAAATTCGTGCAAAAATATCTCCTTAATTATTTCTCCACCTATCAAGCCAATCTTGCATCGTAACGGGTATTTTTCGGGTCCTGACTTACCCTGTACCACCGGGACAACTTCTTCTTAAAATTCTGGCCAATAAAAGGTACATATATGGCGCCATCTTAGAGGAGCATAGATGAAAATAATTAGCTCTACTGACAGGCTATTTGACCTTACTGAGTCACGCAATAGAGATTTCACTATAACGGGTAGACAAAAGACTGTCTAAAATATTCCCATACTGCGTTCTGATTTTTATGCTGTCCATAAATATCTTCTGGTGACTCAGCATGATGACTCGTCGGTGTCATGATTACGCTTGATGACTCAGCATGCTGACTCAGCATCGTCATGATGGCTTTTAGATATTTTCTTTGGTTTTGTCTCCTATTTAGGGGACAAAATTATTTAATATTTGACTGGAGCATTTTATTCAGTCCAGAGCTCCAAAAATTCATCCAAAAATATCATAAAATTCCTCCTATTCTAGAAAAAATCTGTGAATTTTCTCAGGTCATAACTCAACCTATAGCCCCACTTAAAAATCATTCTTTAAAATGCCTTTTTTGGGCACAACTGGCTTTTAAGTATTCTTAAAGCCATTTTGCTTGTCTTCTAGGGATGAGACTAATTTTATAATTTTCTACAGTCTCTTAGATCATACATTCCCATTTTACCATAATTTTCTGAGGTTTCCTTATGACTCAACAATTAAATCTACCTCTACATCTTAAATTGAGCCATAAACTTCTAAATTCCTTTTAAGTTACCTCAGGGGTATTTTCATCATCTCTCTTCACAAAAGAGTCTTAGAATATTATTTCCCATTTTCTGGGATTTTCTTAGAATTTTCTAAGTACTTTCCATTTTTACCCCTGATGGCCGTAACTTTCTGAATTTACGGTTTTACCCCTGCTTAGGCTCAACCTCATAAAACAATCTCTTTGAGGCTTCTAACTTAACCTTTGGTCTGTATCTAGCCTCTTTTCTCTTTCTGGGCCTTTGAGACTTTACTGGAGCCTCTAACTTTGATTACCCTTTAGCCCCTTAAAACATTCACTTTGCAGTTTAGTCCCTAAAACTGCTTTAACTTTCTTTCTCATCTTTAAGACCTCTACTAAAAAGGGGTCTGGTAGCCTATCTTATTCAGGCTATTTCTAGTACTTCAGGGCCCAAAAATCGAGATGTTACAATTCCCGCCCACAAAGACACAGTATCCTGTAGTAGACCGTCTCGTGGCCTTTGATCCACCATGATCCGCATCACAGAAGGACTCAATGTCTGTATGGCCATGATTTTTGTATAATATCCCACGACCTGGACATCCCTTCAAATAATGTAACACGTGCTCCAAGGCTTCCCACTGTCTGTGTAACATCCAGACTTTTAAGCCTAGAAGTTCCAGAAATAGCCTAAATTAAATAGGTTACCAGACCCCTGTGAGCAGAAGTCCCAAAGATGAGAAAGAAAGTCAAAGCAGTTTCAGGGACTACACTGCAAAGTAAAAGTTTTTAGGGGCTCGGGTATAATTAAGGTTAGAGGCTCCAGTAAAGTCTCGAAGGCCCAGAGAGAGAAAAGAGACTAGATATAGGCCAAAGGTTGAGTTAGAAGCCTCAAAGAGAGGATTATATGAAGTTAAGTCCAACCAGGGACTAAACTGTAAATTCTGAAAGTTATGACCAACAGGGGTAAAAATGGAAGAGTACGAAGAGAATTCCAAGAAAATCCTAGAAAATGGGAAATAATATTCTAAGGCTCTTCTATGAAGAGAAAAGATGAAAATACCCCTGAGGCAGCTTCAACAGAATTTATAAGGTTATTACCGGTAAAAAGTATACCATGTGATGTAATTATTTAAAATAGCAAGAGACCTCAAAAATGTATACAAAAATGAGCTTAAATGGTTGAAAGGTTGTACTAATTTATAAAATTAGTCCCGCAACCAAAAGGCCAGTGGAGTGGCTTTAATAAATTAAAGAGTCGGTTTTGCCGATAAAAGGGCATTTTGGTAAATGAATTTTTATACAAGGTTTAAAGGAAGTGTTATGGCCTAAGAAAATTCATAGATATTCTCTAGAATTAAAGAGAATTTATAAAGCAGACAGAACAATTTTCTGAGCTTTGAAAGGCCATAAAGAAAGCCGGAGAAACGTGGGCCAAGTAAATTCGGAGGAAGCTTATGAAACAAGTTTGATCCAACGGCTAGGATCTAATCTCTCATCTCCTCCACCACTTTCATGACACTTGGCATCTTCTAGAAGGTTGAGGTAAGCATGATGTAATAAGATGATGCAATGATGATGCAAAAGTCCACTTGAACTTCCAAATTTGCCCTTACCCTTTCTATTAGCCACCAAGGGCATTTTGGTCCATTCAAGCCAACTTTTTTGGCTATAAATAGAGCCTCTTGCCCTTCATATTTTCAGCCAACATGATTTTAAGTGGGGAAATTCTGTCAAAATTTAGAGAGAAAAACGTAGGGGTGAAGGCCAAGAAGAAGGAACAAAGTTCAAGCTTCAAGATCAAGGTGGCTGTAGCATCTGATGTGATACCTGTTTCGAATTAGTTACTGTGTGTATCTGATTCTGAAATTTTGCATGCTTAAAGTACACTCTGTGATCTTTAAATCCATGGGTAGAACACTCTATTTGGATATGTGTACGATTTATGGTGATTTTTCAAAGTTAGGGTTTGAAATCTGGAAACAGTGTTGAACTTTTGGGAGATTGTCGAGTTCCGTACAATTATGGTACTGTTCTGAGTAGAATTGGTTCCTAAAACTATTTTTCCTTTAAATTTAACTTAATTATTTTTCAGTGAGACTTGGAAGCACTCAATTTGGAGTTTTCTAGATTTAATTATGAATTTTTAAAGTTGAGCAAAAGTTCTGGAGATTCTGCGTGAACAGTACCCGCGAACCAAAATTTTCAGATTTGATATTCTTGAATCTAAAGCCATCTAAAGTGGTCCTAATTGATAGGAAATAGATCATAAGGATGTAAAATGATAAGATTTATATTAGAAAAGTTAGAAAGAAAACCCTAAGACTAAGAGAAAGGGGTTGAAGTTCAAGAAAGCTAGTCTTGAACTTTATGTAATCTAATGGTCCTAATGGATTGTGTCATCATTATGGTTATGTTTAGGACCTTTGGAACATCCAAGAGGATGTTTGATTATGTTGACCGAATGCCCACATGGTTGGAAAGTCAAGGGAGTCAAAGGAAAAGTAAGAGGAAAGCTTGAGGTGCAAGGTAGTGAACTTACCCTTTATGTGCTTGACATGGTATGCTTATGTGTTGGTTTGTATTTGTTGTTTGAATGATGTTGTGACATGATGATTGTTGCTGGAAATGCTATTTTTAATATGTTCCCATGGCCATGCATTTTTATACCAAGCATAAAGCATGATGGCATGTCACTAGTTAACTTAAATTTATGAAAAACTACATACCATACACTAGCATCCATCTTGTGCATGTATGTGGTAGTGTTTGCTACTGAGATTCCCCCGAATCTCACCCCCTTCCTAACCAACCATTTAGGTCAATCAATGATGGGCACTAATGGCATGAGAAGCAAGGAGAAGAAGTGGAAAATTATTAAGGCAAATGAATGATATTAATATTCAATGTATAATTCTCCTATGCTGTAAATTATGTTATGAATGCCATTACTTCAATGTATATGCTTAGGATGTTTATGGCATGAATGAAATTATATGAGTATGAATGAGAAAGATTAAGCCCATGCTATGTATGTCAAAGAAATAAAAAGAATTAAAGTAAGGAGATATTAAAGGATAAAACGTAGGTCCTGAAGCAGTTAGTTTTGAGCTTCAGTTTGACCTACCAAATGAATGAGTTAAATCACGATATTTGGTAGACCTATAGTGCACATCCCAAGCTTCAAAATGAGTAGTAAATAACCTCATTTGGATGTGTATACGAAGAGATATGAATTTTCAAAGTTAAGGCGCAGAATCTGGAAAGTCCAGATTTTACCAAACGGATAGTAATCTTAATCCAATAAACTGTACGTTTTCTATGAGGATGAGTTCAGTTGAGTATTTTTCCCTTAAAGAGCATTGAAAGAGCTTTCCGTAGAATTTTGGAACACCTCCATACGATTTTTCTAGAATTAGTTATGATTTTTCAAAGTTGGACCTGTAATCTGAAAACTGGACAGTGAACAGTAATTTTCCGAAAATTAACGTCCAAATTGAAATTTTTAAGCTTGAGACCATCCAAAGTGGTCTGGAATGGTTCTAAATGAATGCTAAGGTATTATATAAGTAAGGTGTGATAGTCTGACAGTCGGGGATGCCATGAACTGGCTTAGTACACTGACTGGATAAGTAATATCCGAACGAGTTACAGTGAGATAGTTTAACTTGCCAATCATTCTCCTGTACCTCTCAGGATTCTCAAATGGTTTGCTCTTCTGAGCCTCAAGCATCTGTTTTTCATCATCAAGAGAATCATCGAGTGGTATGCTCCCATCAGCGTCAAGGAGTGGGTTGTGAACCATAGGAAACTTAGTTGGTGCTGCTCCCAACTTTCCAGTTTCCTTCAGGAGGTCAAGAACATATTTGCGCTGTGTCAGTAATATGCCCTTCTTAGTTCTCATAACTTCAATACCTAGAAAGTATGTCAGAGAGCCCAGATCCTTCGTCTAAAAGTGGGAATTAAGAAAGGACTTGAGGGACGAGATGCCCGAACCATTACTGCCTGTGATCACAATGTCATCTACATATACCACCAAGAGAATCATGCCAGCCGCTGTTCTTTGATAAAATACAGAATGATCGCACTTGCTTTGGCTCATGCCAAATTTCTGTACGACAGTACTAAACCGGTCAAACCATGCACGAGGGCTTTGCTTCAAACCATACAAGGACCTCTTAAGGCGACATACTTTCCCATGCTCCCCCTGAGCAACGAACCCAGGTGGTTGCTCCATATAGACCTCTTCATGAAGATCACCATGTAAGAACGCATTTTTAATGTCTAATTGATATAGATCCCAATCATAAGTAGCAGCCAGAGAGATGAACAGACGGACAGATGAGAGCTTAGCAACAGGAGAAAAGGTTTCGGAATAGTCAATGCCATAGGTTTATGCATAACCTTTAGCCACAAGGCGAGCCTTAAGGCAGTCAAGTGTGCCGTCAGCCTTAGTTTTCGGAGTGAACACCCATTTACATCCAATGGCCTTTTTACCCGCCGGTAAATCGACCAGGGTCTATGTACCAGCCCGATCAAGGGCCGCCATCTCCTCTTCCATTGCAGCACACCAACCTGAGTGGGCCAAGGCTTCACGAATAGTTCTGGGCACAGAGATAGTATCTAGGGAGGCAACAAAGGAACTGGACACAGGAGACAAGCAGTCATATGAAACAAAGGACGAAATAGGATGGGCACAAGTACGTTTACCTTTGCGAAGGGCAATGGGTAGATCAAGAGAGGCATCCGGGGCTGGAACAGGAGGTGTCTCAGGATTAGGGTCAGAACGAGGTTCAGTGTTGCTCAACTCAGGATCTGAGGGCGAGGCGGACCAGGGAGGAATAGAAGCTGGCGTGGCGGTAGTAATCTCCTTTGACCGTCATGGATACACACGATCAAATGGTTGAACGAGTGCGGGAGCGGGTGCTTGCGACGACAGTGATGGTGAGGTGACAGAGTATATTAGAAGGTCATCCTCCTCCGCAGGTGGAGCAGGTGGGGAAGAATGCGAGAAATATGGTGTGGACTCCTGAAAGGTGACATCTGCAGATACTAAATAACGATTGAGAGTAGGTGAGAAGCAACGATAACCTTTTTGGACCCGAGAGTATCCAAGGAAGACACATTTAAGCGACTTGGGGTCTAACTTTGAAATAGATGGACGTACATCCCGCACAAAACAGACACACCCAAATATCTTAGGAGCAATAAGGAACAAAGGCTTAGAAGGAAAGAGGGTAGAAAAAGGAGAGTTACCATCAAGAACAGAGGAAGGCATTCGATTAATAAGGAAGCAGGCAGTGGAGACCGCGTCAGCCCAAAATGGTTTAGGAACCTGCATTTGAAACAAAAGTGCACGGGCCACCTCAAGTAGGTGGCGATTTTTTCTTTCTGCAACACCATTTTGAGCTGGTGTATTGACACAAGACGACTGATGAAGTATACCATTTTGAAGCATGTAAGATTGGAACGAAGCAGAGAGATATTCTTTAGCATTATCACTTCGTAAGGTGCGAATAGAAACATTAAATTGAGTTTTAATCTCAGCACAAAAGGCACAAAAATGGGAAAACAATTCAGAACGATGTTTCATTAAATATAACCAAGTTGTCCGGGAATAATCATCAACAAATGTAACAAAGTATTTAAACCCTGCTTTGGACTCTACAGGACAAGGACCCCAAACATCAGAATGGACTAACTCAAAAGGGGATGAAACCCGTTTATTGACACGAGACACTAAAGGAAGACGATGATGCTTGGCAAACTGACATGACTCACAATCTAAAGACGACAAATGCTGAAATTGAGGATAAACTTTCTTAAGAGAAGATAGAGACAAATGACCCAATCGACAATGAACTTCAAAGGGAGAATGACTGCTAGCGCAAGCTACCGCATGAGACACCCGATCATCCAGTATATAGTGCCCGCCAGATTCATAACCTCTACCAATAATCCGCCTCGTCAAAAGATCCTGTATCAAGCAATGAGAAGGAAAAAGTGAGACCCAACAGTTTAGTTGACGGGTGAGTTTACTGGGAGATAGGAGATTAAAAGCAAGTTTAGGAACATTTAGCACAGATGACAAACGGATAGAGGGTGTGGGATTAACAGTGCCAAAACCGAGAACTTGAGACTGGGAACCATCAGCGATGGAAACACTTGATGGATTGGCAAAAGCATTATAAGAGGAGAAGAGATGGCTGTTACCTGTCATATGATCAGTAGCCCCGGAATCTATGATCCACTTTGAGGAAGAAGAAGCAAGGGCAGTAGCATTATTACCTGTTGTAGCTGCGGCACTCATAGACGGTGTAGTAGATTTTAACTGGGCATACTCAGCAGCAGAAATCGTGACTGTGTCACTGGCTTGTGTAGCCACGTGGGCACTGGCTTGTGTAGCCACGTGGGCAGAGTTATTCCGTTGCTGTTTATTTTGAAGTTTTCGACATGTGCGTTTTGTATGCCCGGTTCTTTGCAGTAATAACACACTACCCCACTGGAGTCAGAAGGGGCTCCCCCTTGCTTCGAACCACCACGGGTAGGCCCCCCGCAGTTATCAATGGGACTACGAGTCTCATAGGTGCCCTTACTGAGCAAGGCACTTGTAGGAATACTAGCAGCTGGTGGCAAAAGATTCGCAGCTCTCATTACTCTGGAAAACACATCTTGAAGGTCAGAAATTTCAGATCCGGATAAGATTTGAGACCGAACTGTGTCGTACTCAGGTGGGAGACCAGTAAGAAAGCTCATAATAGCCATTTGCTCCCGTTGCTTATGCTGAACCTTCAAGTCAGCAGTAAGAGGCATTAACACATTCAGTTCTTCATACATCCTTTTAAAGTCCATAAAGTAGGCTTTGAGAGGACGATCCTGTTTTTCAGAACGATAGAAAGCTTTGTAGACCTCGTAAACACGAGAGATATTTCCTTTTCCTGAATACAAAAAATCTAAATAATCCATTAGTTCCTTAACCAATTCACAGTGATTAATAGAGGGAATAATCTCACTGTCAATGGAATTACGGATCTGGAAAAATAGCCGTGTATCATCCCGCAACCAGGTCTTTTTGGAATCAGTTGTTGGAGGATCATCAGTCAGATGGTCTTCCTTCTCAATGCTCCGCAGATAGAGGCGAATGGTTTTACTCCAATCCAAATAATTTACCTAAGTCAACTTGTGATCAGTAATTTTAGTAATAGTTGGGACAAGCTCCGAGACAGATTTAATTTCCGCCATAGATGAAGTGCACTAACCAAAGGGAATGCGAAAGAGTGTTACACAGGAACACAAAGCACGATACCTGGATTACCTAATGAATACCAAAGCAGTGAAAAGGCCAACAGCTACACAGGGAGCTGCAAACAGAACTGAATTGCACAAACAGTGTGCCGGAGATGCGCCAGAAACGAAACAGAACGCCAGAAAGTAATAACCGTATGGACCGGACTGTACGGACGCCGAGTGAACAGTGCAGAGCGTACGGACTGTACGGACGCTGAGTGAACAGTGCAGGGCGGTGGCACCAAGGGAAGCGTCGGAAAGAGGGTCACGAGCTCACACAGTAATTTTGGTACTGTAGCAACCGAAAATTAACACCCAGAAAGAAAATTCCCACGCTCTGATACCATGTAGGGAATAGAATAATATGGAGAATAATTCTCTTGTATTTCATTGATCAGAATATACACATATATATACAAGTGAGAGGAGCCTCTGCATTAATGGCTCATTATGATAATATCATATCCTATCAAATCCTAATCATAATTACATAATATTTACATATCAAATCATATCATATCTCTACATGAATGTAATAATGCATCTCTTGGCACTTACGAAAAGATGAAGGCTCAAATGGTTAGCAATGGATAACATCATATGGGTTTGTGTTTGGAATGTAAGGGTTTAGAAAAGAATGCCTCTATCATGCTCATCATATAAATGTAACTAAGTCTCGATTAAGAATTAGAACAAGTTCTAGAAAGTAGAAGATGTAAGTGGATGCAACTCACTATGAATGAAAATTAGGCTCAAAGAATCTTCCAACAAGGCTAAATCTCAAATGCTCATGCACAAAGATTAATTGTACTCCAGATTAATCACAATGCATTAACTCAATCAATATAAAAGCAAGCTTGAAGAATTGTGACCAATGAAACTAAAACAATCAACTTTAAACAAATAGCAATTCTCATGAGTATCAATACAAGTTCATACACATTTACCAAAGTCCAAGAATACACAAATTCAAGTGTAAGTTACTTGAAGCAAAAATTTTCAAAAATTTTAACTCAAAAATCTTCATATTAAGTTCAAAAAAATCAATCAAAATTTGAAAATTTTTAGAAAACCAGATTTTTCATTAAGCACAGAAAAACACAACACAATCACTGAAGATCAATCCCTCCCCCACACTTGAACTTTGCATTGTCCCCAATGCAAAACTCAAGTACAACCCTAAATAAGAGAAACCAAAACCAAAAAGGGAGTAAAAGAAAAGAAAAGAAAACAAACTACTTTTACTACTGGCTATGTCCCTCCCCCACACTTATCTCACAAAACAAGCAAATAATTCAAAAGATAAGAGTTAAGGAAGGAAAGGGACAACCTTGAGAACGAAATCTCTTCAAACTCTTGTAGGAGAAGTTCTCATCCCGGATAAGAAACATGCATTTCTTCCATATGTTGACTTCTCCTTTATTGGTCTTCCTTAGTAGAGGTGGTGTGGAGTCCTGCAAGCAAGTAGAACCAACAGCAGTACCACATCCAGAAATAGAAACATGAAGAGGATAAAAATGAAATAAAGACAGCTTAGAAGTTAATCTCTCCAAGTAACTATCACAACCAAGGAAATCAATAGTACTCCCATCAGTAGGAGTCAAATTTTTATTTAAATTTTTGAAACACTCAAGCTCATGTGAAGTGGAAGTTGAAGAATCCAACTGATAGTTGTTGGAGTATAGTACATCACTATCACATTCACAAGAGGTAATGTTTGCAGGGGAAGAAAAGAAAGAACAAAATGATTTATGCAAACTACTATTTACAATGCAAGATAAATCAGGAGGTAAATCACAAGATAAAACTTGTTGGAAAGACTTATTGATATTCATGATTTTATCAATTAA